GGAGTGAAAACAGAGAAGACTGATGTATATTTATTACTCATATATATATAATGGATGTATTTATGACGGTAGCGACACATCTGTCGACAATAAATTTAAGCTTCCTTTTTGTGAATGCATTCGTATTTCTCCAGATAATCTCACAAAAATGCGAATAAAAACAAAAGAAAAATATATTATTTTTACACGACAGCAAAATCGTTACTAGAACCAGTAAACATGTTAGTATGAGTTCTGAGTACGAATCTGAAATAGAATGTGTTTGGTTGAAAGCTAACAATGCTTTCAGTACATCATACAGTTGTCATGTTAAATGAAAGCTTTATGACAACACCATTGAATGATTATGAGGGAAAATTTAAACAGAGAATATATAAATTAGCTTTTAATCAAAGACTGTAGATCCTCGATAGTTGACTTTATAGTATCTTAACGCGGAGTAAACATGTGATAGATATTTGGACAGGTGCTTTCATGACTCTTACACAGCTAACGACAGGTAAATGTCCGATATGGATGTTACACGTTGTGGTGGCGTTTTGTTATGTGACACTTAGTGAAATATCATAAGTAAGAATGCATTTAAACAATTACTGATAGAGAGTATCATTAAAGTATTACTCTCCGTAAAAAGGATAACAATAAATATAAAGCTAACTTATTTGTATCGATGCATTCTGAAGCATGATATAAATAGAAAACTTCAATTTCAACCTCATTACGCAAAATTAATAAAATGGTCTGGATTCTTTTAAGGGAAAAGTATTATACAACTATTTGGGACCTCTACCAGGGTTTACTCAAAGTTGTAATATTTCACAATGTTTTTGTGAATACCAGAGAGAATGAAGGGAAACGCTTTTGTATTAGTATTTACAAGCACGTAAAACAGACAATAAGTTATCAGGGACGAGTTTTGTTAGTATACCCACATTAGAAAGTAAAACATCAGTAGGTCATGCTTTGTTATAATAAAAAGTCCTAATTAGTAATTCGCAAAGGTATCTTACATGGGTTTTAGCATGTATCCAATGATTGAAAAGAAATAGCACACCACAGAGTACAAAGTAATACCCTCTGACACCAGAAACATATACAGATGTGTGATTAGTATGCCTATATAACACTCCTAACCGGTTTCATCACGTATCCAGTCTTTGATACTAAAAGATATGCTAAAGATGAGTTAAATCTTGATGCCAGAAACATATGATATACTGATTAGCATGCCAAGTGAAAATATATCTGTATTGCCCTGAAAGCCCGATATATATTTAAATGTATCATTCCTGTTGCATACGTAATGTGGTTTACGCGAGGCAATAACAGAGCGAATTTCACATAAACGTCTATTTCATTGTTATTTGTGAGACGCTATAGAGGGTGTAGACACTTTAAAACTGCCCAATATCATGCTGTGATAGAATTAAACTTTCATCTTTGATCTTACTCTGAGACCTGATCTTGTACAGAAAGACATACACATGGTGAATAGTCCTATAGTCTTGCATGCATACAATCCAGCTAAAATGTTGATTCTATAATTTGAAAAACGTGTGTTTCACGTGGCAGAAACAGTAAATGAAAACAACCCAAATTACACTCAATCAAAACTCGAATATCCCCAATACACAGCACAGGTCTTTGGTACCGTGTCGGTACATTTCTATAATTTTAAAACAACTTTCACGCGAACAGACCATATAGTTGGTGGCGACTTATCAAAATAATGTCAACAATGAATCTTATATGCAATAGTGTTAGATTCCATTACATTCTTAATTAAAGAGAAAAGGTAAGTTATCAATAAAACTCGTGGAATTTACCAATGAGCGACAGCCCCCTTTGGTGGTTCACATTAGCCTTTGATCATTGTACGATTAACGATTGGTGTTCTTTTACTAACATAACGGGCAACAGTACGGTCGTATAGGTATCAAGTATTTCTTTGACCACAGTGACGACAGAAGTACTTTGTACATCGATTGATTCAACCATACAACGTATTTCTAGATTATACCCCAGGCTCGGTTTCTGGATATTACCAAGGGTCTGGTTTCCAGATCATACCACAAAGTGCATTTCTATATATTACAGCAGACAGGGTATCTACATAATACTGCAGACTCGGTTTCTATATATGTTCTAGGTTTTGGTTTCCACAGAGTGCATTTCTATGTATTAAACTAACGGATATGGTATCTAGATATGTCACCGCACGTTCGGCTTCTAGGTATTGCCATAGGTTGGGTATTCAGATATTACCATATGTTTGGTATCTAGATTATACCATAGGTTGGGTATTCAGATATAACCATAGGTTGGGTATCTAGATTATACCATAGGTTGGCTATCTATATATAACCATAGGTTGGCTATCTAGATATTACCATAGGTTGGGTATCTATTATACCATAGGTTGGGTATTCAGATTATACCATAGGTTGGGTATCTAGATAATACCATAGGTTGGGTATCTAGATTATACCATAGGTTGGGTATTCAGATTATACCATAGGTTGGCTATCTAGATAATACCATAGTTTGGGTATCTAGATAATACCATAGGTTGGCTATCTAGATATTACCATATGTTTGGTATCTAGATATTACCATATGTTGANGCTATCTAGATATTACCATAGGTTGGCTATCTAGATATTACCATAGGTTGGGTATCTATTATACCATAGGTTGGGTATTCAGATATAACCATAGGTTGGGTATCTAGATAATACCATAGGTTGGCTATCTAGATTATACCATAGGTTAGGTATTCAGATATAACCATAGGTTGGGTATCTAGATAATACCATAGGTTGGGTATCTAGATAATACCATAGGTTGGCTATCTAGATATTACCATATATTGAGTATTCAGATATAACCATAGGTTGGGTATCTAGATTATACCATATGTTAGGTATTCAGATATAACCATAGGTTGGGTATCTAGATAATACCATAGGTTGGCCATCTAGATAATACCATAGGTTGGGTATTCAGATATAACCATAAATTGGCTATCTAGATTATACCATAGGTTGGCTATCTAGATAATACCATGTTAGGTATTCAGATATAACCATAGTTTGGCTATCTAGATAATACCATAGGTTGGCTATCTAGATAATACCATAGTTTGGCTATCTAGATAATACCATAGGTTGGGTATCTAGATATTCCCGCAGACTGGGTTTCTATATATAACAGCCGACAGGGTATCTTTACATTACCATAGGCTTGGCTTTTATGCATTACCGTAGACTGGGTTTCTATATATACCCGCAGACTGGGTTTCTATATATAACAGCCGACAGGGTTACTATACATCACCATAGGCTTGGTTTCTATACATTACCGTAGACTGGGTTTCTATTTATAACAGCCGACAGGGTATCTATACATCACCATAGGCTTGGTTTCTAGATATTAATGGACAGTTGATTAGCACATTTATCAAGATCTGGTGCGCTTATTGGCCGTTTCACGTTGACATTTACATTAATAAAAAAACAACATTACAGGCGAATGATATAAACCTTTTACAATATATCACGAACAATGACATAGAACATGTTGCCACGTGGACGAATGTGTAGCATGTCAATTATCTATAAATTGTACTGTCATACATCACCGTGTTGTCTAACAATAAACATGATATACAAGAAAAATGAATATTTTAAAATAGTCTACACATTTACTACTCGTGTTACTGTGTTGGACAGAGGCACACAATTTAAACCTCCGTCGGGTGTTAATTAGATTGCCGGTCAACCGCATGTACACGAAGAAAGTTGAAATCTATTTACTCCTCGAGTGGACATACTGCCAATGTAAACATCATTCAGATTAATGTGTTTATATCGGACACTTGGTATAATGACCTTTCTTTGGAGTTTAAATAATATTTCGATTTTGTGTTTCTTTTATAATCAAACCAAATATCTAAACAGGCAGCGTTCTATTGAATACTTGATATCGTAATGTAAATGTCTGCAAATATTTTGGCGTGTTTTTTTTTAGCATGGTTTATTTGAAAGAACTATGTATTAAACTGGCTCTGGTACCACAATAGCCTTCGTCTTAGATATTGTCCTGAATTTGAACATTCTAACATTTTACCATTCCATTTTTTCCTGTTAACAATTCACAGTTTTAACTTTTGAGATAATTTCACACCATAATATGTACATATTTCACATTTCATTTGACACACATAATCCCTCGTCTAAATCACATTAAAAAGGTTGTGTCAAGCCGCGGGCCACGTCATCAACCGAAAGAATGTTTGCTTGTTCAATTAGTTGTCGATGCTCAATATATTTTTTTTATCTATTATGGTTGAAACCATAGCGAGTGCAGCAGTATACATTTTGCATGTTAAAGTGACAAAGTGGAACACAATTCACATATAGTAACCAATCAAAAGAAACAATAAAGTACCGAAGTGTCAACAATGCCGTTATTCGAACTCTAAATTTCACAACCGGAGCAAGATGCGTACAAATGAAAGATATATATGGAGACCATCGGAAAAAATGTACGGAATACAGACGTTCCGGAAGGGTAAGCGTCGACTGCTTCATCGACGATACCTGGCATGCGACACTAGATCAAATCCAAGTAGGTTTCGTCCTCAAAGCGAGAATCATCGGGGTGTTGACAAAGATACCACAGGATGTACAAATGAGTATAATCATATCACACAGGGACAGGGAAAATCCCCAATGCGATAATGATGCCGACCATTAAACTTGCCAACATTCGTCAACAAACTGCATTTCTCGAGATCTTGTGCTGTAACTTTGTCCGTCAGCCATGATAACACCGCCAGTGTCATATAATATGACCCACAATATTTTGAACTCATAGTTTAAAAGTACCTACACTTGCGAAGGATTTGATTCTTTCATTTAATAGGTTATGTACGGCTTACACTAGCGTTTGTTGAGCAATGCTAACAATTCCCTTTGTAGTCCGTCATTTTTACTGACCTGATATGAGGAACGCCCTGAAAAGCATTTTTCCTATGTCCAAGTAATTGGCTACCAAGCCTGGCGAAAATGTCCTTCATCACAGGTAAAACTAATGTTCGGCTTCAGTTGTGGTTATCACACCACCGAACACATCTGTTTCTGAAAATAGAAACCTTGCAATAAGACAAATATTGAAACCAAAACTGTTATCAGATAACATTAGGCTATTAATGAAATGAAGATTTGTATGTAGTAAGAGAGTAAAAAAACCAAAATCTAATTTTGAGAACTAAACGCATATACACTTGCCTTTGTGTATGATGACAAATAGTTTTAACAAAAGCAATTGAATGAAATACAAGTTACATATCCATTTGGCAAATAAAATTACAAAAACATAAGGATATCTGCTGAAATGTCATTCTTCAATTCAATCGATTACAAAAATGAAATCAAAATCAAATCTACTACTGGTATAAGGATTTGCTACACATTTGTAGCAGCCATAGAGTATGACTTGGAAAACCCTACCTTTATAGTTTTATTCTTGGGCCTTCCGGTTTTTTTTATCACACGTGGTTGATAAAAAAGATTCTTACGTTTGTGGTGTTTTCAGAAAACAGATGAGAAGGGCATTATTCCTTTTCTTGATATTGTGCTAGAGCACAATAATAGTTAGTCACGTTAATCGACGACAGACCGATATAAAAAAGTCGATAAAACGTCAGAATAATTCGGACTAACTAATAGTATGCATGCTTTCAGTTCGGGATTACGAATCTGACAGCGGAACAAATCAAATAAAAGAAGCATGCATGCTTCACAAACATAACAAACAAATTGTGAAAGTACATGCCACAATTAGCTCAACACTTAGTGTCAGTGTTATCTGATATAATTAGCGCACAGTTAGGTGTTGAATTCTGTGCAATAACATGTTGTTAAGTCGCAAAGAGCAGACGATACAAGGACAGTCCGGGGAATAAAGCGTACCTGCTAACTTTGGTTCCAAAATCAACATCCCCCGGTCAGTCTTTAAGCCTTAAGAATCTACAGTTAGCGAGGTCAGTGGAATAGTGACCGCTTCATGTAACACGTTGCAATTAGTACCAGCATCGTGAACCCTAGGGTACCTTGTAAGGTCATTTTCGGGACTCTATGGAAGGTTCCTATGTAAACAGGGAGGACCCACGGTATTCCACAGCCCAAGTCTCCCACCTTACATTTTATACTGTGTACTTTTTACGTGCCTATTCATTCTAAATTTGAAAAGGTAACTTCTATTGGTGTGGACTGTTTTCAATACGATTAGGCCTTTCACGAGTAAAGCATTGTCTAGTGTTGTTGACAGTTATCCCCGTAGTCATTTAGAAAGCTGATTTCACAACTGGCTAGGTAACATATACAAAACTGAAGGGATTAACGTCACGTTCTTTTATAACGCATGGACCGTTTATAAAAACTAAATTATCTGTACTCGTAATCAACCTCATTTGCAAACGTGAAATGAATATCCATACCCTTTTGAAGAATTGTTTACATTTAGTTAATATGCCAGCGTTTAAAAATAATAATTATTTCTATAGAACTTCATGACTGGCTAAAAATACTTGCTTCGATAGCAAAATGCAACTTACTCTGTTTACATCAATATGCATTCTTTTTCGTTATTTTGCTAACATAAGGAGGAAATGTTAAGGTTTTTTTCAAGAGATACTTATTCCACAAAGGTGTATTATACGTGAATGTTATCTTACCTGTAAGGCGATGCATGCTGCTGATGTAGATGTGCCGGTTAAAGCATCCAGCTCGGTAATTTTATTCCATGGCAACTCAAACACGTGGACTTATTTCGTCTATGGCATAAGATTGGAATGGAGCTCTACTGCAGCCGTGATGAAATGAATTATTTTTCACAACCTTGTAGCACACTGGACCTACCAGCCAATATATGTGACCCAGTAAATATATCTGTACTAATATAGGTAGATCTTAAGCTCAGTGTATAAGTGTGTGTAACGGTTCAGTGAGTATGACAGAACACTGTATTAATATTCACAGGGCGTAACCGACCTGTATATACCACGTCATAGTGAAAATGTTCTACCCAATCTGTACACAGTGACGGGGCACGGGAACCAAAGATAAGCTTTCGGTAATACTATCCCACTTGTAAAACAGGGCCATTTAATGTATTGTCTGGTAAGCTGACAAGTGAGCCGGTGATATTTACAATCAAATGTCTTATTTCTAAATATGCGTTTTGGTTGTTTTTAAAATCACATACATAAACAACAATTAGACTCCGTTAATACTACTATTAAATCCTAGCAAATCAGCCTCTCCCTTTATCTATATAGGTGTATTAATGATAAATCTCAGTAAGCAGTATTACAATGTATTTAACTATCATTATTAGCTAAAACCTCCCGTAAATTATTTTCAAACTTTTACCAAAAAAATGTATAAAAAAAAAAATACTTTTAAAAAATACTTAAAGTAACGTATCATGCAAAGAACAACGTCATGTGAAATATGACATCTTTCTGCTATGTATTATCACTTAATGTGTCTCGTCGTTAGACAATATACGCGTCTGTTAACAAAATGTCTGTATTTCAAAGTCTGACAATATTGTACCATCATCATACATATATGGCAAGGCGTCAAGGCTGTCCAGCTGATTGCATGATTGTTTCGCCAAACTTATAAAACTCCATGGTGTCTTTCTGTTCGAATGATTGTTCAAACTCACATATGTTCAGGATGTCCTCCTGTCCGTACCATAGTTCAACATCAGATAGTTCCATGGTGTCCTTCTGTCCGTACTATTGTTTAACCTCACATATATCCAAGATGTCCTTCTGTCCGTACAATTGTTAAATATCGCATATATCCAGGGTGTCTTTCTATCCGAATGATTGTTCAACCTCGCATATATACAGGAAGTCCTCCTGTCCGTATCTTTGTTCAACCGCACATATTTATCCAGGATGTCCTTCTGTCCGTATTAGTATTCAACCTCATTATGTTTAAATTCTGTTTATTACATTTTTCTTCATAAAGATATTCCGTCTTTGCGTATTGCAGAGTTATCATCTCTTGTGAGTAGGTATTGATTGTTATGTCATTTGTTTGTGAGAGTAACGTCATCAATTTTTGAGAAAACCACGTAATTTTCTCACACAAACCAATGACGTAACAATCAATACCTGTTCACAAGAGAAGATAACTCTGCAATACGCAAAGACGGAATAGGCTTCAGTGAAGTTTATTTTAAAGACGGAATAGGCTTCAGTGAAGTTTATTTTTCGTCCAAATAAATGAAGACACGGAATGCTGTATTGCGACGTCGTTTAGTGTTATTTGTCAAGTAGAAAAAATATCATATGTGTTTTCATCGTAAACCCTGATCTTTCACTAGTAAAAAAAAGAAAAAAGTGAGTAAGGAAGTTACGTTGCTCGACACATGCGGGTTCCCACTGGGTGGTTAATAACTGTGAGTTTGAAATCACACTGAATTCAGAGATATGAACACCAATTTACTTTCCAATATGTGCAAGTATCTACCCACTGACTGGCACTATTTGCTACTCTAATAATATATCCATGGACTTACCTCTGTTTATTTGTAACCCATATAATATACCCACTGGCTTACCCGTATTTGTAACCCATATACCATACCCACTGGCTTACCCGTATTTGTAACCCATATAATATACCCACTGGCTTACCCGTATTTGTAACCCATATAATATACCCACTGGCTTACCCGTATTTGTAACCCATATAATATACCCACTGGCTTACCCGTATTTGTAACCCATATAATATACCCACTGGCTTACCCGTATTTGTAACCCATATACCATACCCACTGGCTTACCCGTATTTGTAACCCATATAATATACCCACTGGCTTACCCGTATTTGTAACCCATATAATATACCCACTGGCTTACCCGTATTTGTAACCCATATAATATACCCACTGGCTTACCCGTATTTGTAACCCATATAATATACCCACTGGCTTACCCGTATTTGTAACCCATATAATATACCCACTGGCTTACCCGTATTTGTAACCCATATAATATACCCACTGGCTTACCCGTATTTGTAACCCATATAATATACCCACTGGCTTACCCGTATTTGTAACCCATATAATATACCCACTGGCTTACCCGTATTTGTAACCCATATAATATACCCACTGGCTTACCCGTATTTGTAACCCATATAATATACCCACTGGCTTACCCGTATTTGTAACCCATATAATATACCCACTGGCTTACCCGTATTTGTAACCCATATAATGTACCCACTGGCTTACCCGTATTTGTAACCCATATACCATACCCACTGGCTTACCCGTATTATGTTATCCATATGTCACCACGGTAAAATACCTCAGTAGAGTGTAAGACTTGTAAGCCATAGGTCCTGGGTTCTCCTCCTAGCGGAGGCATTGAAAAAATAATTACCTCTGTTACATTGGTGCCCACGTAGGGACCCGGAAGATATGACAAAAATACTCGGCGATGCATGCAAAGGAGTTTCTATGACCCCTGGAAAATTCGGGACGAGTTATTTCCAGGAGGGGGAGTATGTCCCCCTGGTAAAATACTAGCCCCTTCCTACCGACACGGCTAGGGAGAATTTCTCTTTAGCTCATTCGGTTGGTTTGGTTTGGTTTTATTTTGTTTAACGTCCTATTAACAGCTAAGGTCATTTTAGGACATATAGAGTGTAAGCCAGAGGTCCCGGGTTCGACTCCTTGCGGAGGTATTGAAAAAATAATGCCATCTGTTATACATATAATATACCCACTGACGTTTTGTTTTCTGTAGAGTTACTGACTTACTCCTAGTCGTTTTATTTATCCCCATGACTGACCTTTCTTCGTTACAACTGCAGTTTTACCCTTGTTTCTTGCACTCCTGGCACATTTGTATGTTGAAGCCTGTTATCATCCTGCCTGACCTACTTATAGCTGTCGGGGTTACCTATGGTGTTACGCGTTTAATGAGCCCAACAAATCATGGTTCACTGAACATAAATAGATATTTTTTTCAGTAAAAAAATAGAATCCTTTAATTATAAAAGATATAAGCAACCACCCGCTAAGAGTAGTATATCAGATCTTACAAACAATTAGAAAATGCGTAGGACAAAGTCAGAAGTGGCGTTTTCTTGTAGATATTTTGAAATCATGTTCTCACTGTTTCAGTAAGGTTATGACCGATTAACTACTTATTCTCAAAATTTTTCCTGAGAGACTCCATTATTCGACGAAGAATTTGTTCATCGCGACCTGATTAACAACAATGACCCATCAGTGTTAACTGTAATAAAGACTTATTTACTGTGTCTTAAATATTCTGTGGCTCACATACTTTCTAGATTTGAAAGGAGACAAAAGGACAAGTGCCATATGTGGTGACTGAGGCAACATGACAAGTGCCACGTGTGGTGACTGAGGCAAAATGACAAGTANAGAATTTTCTGGTTTTGGTGCTCGAGTCTACACAACAAAATTCACCTCTCTGTGCTGCAAATAGTCAAATGGCAATTTCAGATATTTTCCACCCGTACAGGGGCGGATCCAGAAATTTTGAAACGAGGGAAGGGGGCGAAGATTTGTATGTGTCACGGAGGGGGGCTGTAAGCGGAGGTATTGAAAAAATAATGCCATCTGTTCCATGTATAATATACCCACTGACGTTTTGTTTCCTATAGAGTTACTGACCTACTCCTTGTCGTTTTATTTATCCCCATGACTGATCTTTCTTCGTTACAACTGCAGTGTTACCCTTGTTTCTTGCACTCCTGGCACATTTGTATGCTGAAGCCTGTTATCATCCTGCCTGACCTACTTATAGCTGTCGGGTTACCTCTGGTGTTACGCATTTAATGAGCCCAACAATTCATGGTTCACTGAACATGAATAGATTTTTTTTTCAGTAAAAAATAGAATCCTTTAATTATAAATGCTATAAGCAACCACCCGCTAAGAGTAGTATAACAGATCTTACAAACAATTAGAAAATGCGTAGGACAAAGTCAGAAGTGGCGTTTTCTTGTAGATATTTTGAAATCATGTTCTCACTGTTTCAGTAAGGTTATGACCGATTAACTACTTATTCTCAAAATTTTGCCTGAGAGACTCCAATATTCGACGAAGAATTTGTTCATCGCGACCTGATTAACAACAATGACCCATCAGTGTTAACTGTGATAAAGACTTATTTACTGTGTCTTAAATATTCTGTGGCTTACATACTTTCTCGATTTGAAAGGAGACAAAATGACAAGTGCCATATGTGATGACTGAGGCAACATGACAAGTGCCACGTGTGGTGAATGAGGCAACATGACAAGTGCCACGTGTGGTGACTGAGACAAAATGACGGGGGTGCCACATGTGGTGACCGAGGCAACATGACGGGTGCCACGTGTGGTGACTGAGGCAACATGACGGGTGCCATATATAGTGAAGGGAGACATCATGACAAGTGCCATATGTGGTGACTGAGGCAACATGACGGGTGTCACGTGTGGTGACTGAGACAACATGACAAGTGCCACGTGTGGTGACTGAGACAACATGACAAGTGCAACGTGTGGTGACTGAGGCAACATGACGGGTGTCACGTGTGGTGACTGAGACAACATAACAAGTGCCACGTGTGGTGACTGAGACAACATGACAAGTGCCACGTATGGTGACTGAGACAACATGACAAGTGCAACGTGTGGTGACTGAGGCAACATGACAAGTGCCACGTGTGGTGACTGAGACAACATGACAAGTGTCACGTGTGGTGACTGAGACAACATAACAAGTGCCACGTGTGGTGACTGAGACAAAATGACGGGTGCCACTTGTGGTGACTGAGGCAACATGACAAGTGCCACGTGTGGTGACTGAGACAACATGACAAGTGCAACATGTGGTGACTGAGACAACATGACAAGTGCCACGTGTGGTGACTGAGGCAACATGACGGGTGTCACGTGTGGTGACTGAGGCAACATT